TTTTTTTTTTCCTTCAATCAGAGGTTTGACCAGTATAGAGGTGATAAAACCTTGCCTGCGAGCCTCGAACCCTCATCCAGTGCAGAGGAGATGCCCACCTCACTGAGGTTTGTACTGTACACCCCCACTGCCCCTGAAGCAGCCTTCACTTGCGGAGGCACACACAGACAGCGCCTAAAACAGAAGGCCGCCGCTCTAATGCACATGGAATAGGAAGCCGCTGGACCCTGATAGCCATTGGGCCATAACTCAGTAGGTCTCAGGCTTAGCATTAGCTCTTTAGCGGTTTGGTAATCTGTCAGGCTTGTACGGAAATATGCTGGAAAGCCCTTACTAAGGCTCGAGAGCCATATAGGAATCAGGATGGTTGACATCGGATGTTCGGTTTTACTGTTCAGTTTGCCTGCTTGATGCAGTGGCGGTCTTTGAATAGTGAAGGAAGAAAATTATAAGCTACAAAACCACTGTTCAAGGTTGATTCAAGAAGCTAGTTTCAGCACAGATCCAGAGTGACCATTCTTCTTGAAGTTTGCTGAGTCTATCAAAGCCATAATACCATGAATGTTATTGTTATACAATTTGTAGTATAGAAGACTCTTATTTTGACACCTTGTTTAGGAAGCCCCTTTTGTATGATGCCTAAGGGCATTGATTGCCCTTGATTAAATAAACTTGGGAATAACACAGTGTTTTGTGTGCCCATCATTTTGATTTCAGATGTCTTCCTTTGACCTTAAAGTGTGTAAATATTACATTTGACATTTTTTAAGTAAATATTTCAGATTCAGTTTTGAAACGGGAAGTATATTTGACATGGTTAAAAAACAGCGCCATGATCTGATGACAGAACAAAGAAAACTAGCTTTAGCACGACGGCTCGTTTTTTTTTTTTTACAAAACTTTTATTCCCCTAAACCTTGAATCCCAGTCTCTGTGAGTCACTGTGATAGTGAGTGACGTCTTGGGTTTTCTTTCCCTGTAAATTGACCCTCCCCCTCCCCTTTTCCTTCCATTTTTCCCACCGGCCTTGAAAGCTTGAACGCGAAAATCCGAGCCATCGAGGCGAAGCTGCAGATGATGGAGGAGAACCCGGATGAGCAGTACTCGGGCCCCTCCGTGTACCTTTACAACAAGCCTCCTGAGAAGAAGCGTCCGGCGCCCTACGGCAAGCATCACCGCAAATACCGGCGATGACGCAGACACGTGTGCCCGGCGCACGCTCGCGGAGCAGGACCCGCTGCAGTAGCCTTGGGACCGTCACAAAGTGCTACAATCAGATTCTCTGTTCTCTGCAGCATTGTGAAACGTGAAATTTAGGCTGGAGGGCCTGGCTGGTCACGTGGGAATCTAGCTACCAGTTGGCTGGACGTCAGCGAGCCAGCCACGGTGCTTTGTGACTGTTACACCAAGGTTCTTGGCTAGGATGCAAGCAACACAGAATGCTACTGTTTTGTCTAAACAACTTTCTCAAAATTTTTGACCTATTTTTTTTTTTTTTTAAAGAATTTTTAAGTTTTTACCATTGGCTACAGAGAATTTTTAATGAATAAACCTTACAATTCTAGATTTACTGTGGCCTTCTCGATATTTTTTGACCTTCGAACCTTAGAAATTGGAATTGTATGCAAATGTGTACTGCGTGTCCCCCTGACATTAAAATAGGAGGTCCTTGAGTGCTTAATGTAATTTAGCTGTGTCTTCCTGTGCTCAATTTTTCACATTTGGTCATAGCTTTGATATGGCAGTAGTGATGTTCTTTTTGTTTGGATTGTAAGACCAGTCAGAAGACTTTGGATTCATTAATCATTAGCTGAAACTAAACATTTAATTCTTTTGAATGTATATATGCCATTCCCCACCCCCCACACAAGTACTTTTAGGAGAGGACTCCATTGAGTTTGACAAACATTTGTCTCTGCAGTTATCACCAGCATTTGTTTTCATTTTATTTAATAAAAGTATTGGCGATATAATACACTAAGTTTGCAATAGCTAAGCCTATTGCCTTCCGGTGCTGTTTGCCATGTGCTTGTGTGTTTGTCTGTTCTGTACTAAATGGACTGTCTACTTCCCCACTGTGTTATTCTGCTAAAACAAGAAACTTTTCAAACCTGCTCATATGAGTAATGGTGTTTTTTTTAAGGACCAGAGTTCAAGATGAGAGCAGCACAAAAGGGATAATAGATATTTTTTTTTTGCTGTGCTCATTTGGTTCTAATGAGATAGCAGATTTTTTTTCAGCTTGGTAATGGAAAAATAGATTGAATTGTTGTAAACATGCAAATCATATTGCTGAAATAAATGAATCTCATGTCCTTTTTTTCCTTTGAGAGAATCATGTGTCATATGTTTCCTATGTGAAAAGAACGCTGTGTTGATTTGCAGGGGTTTTTGGTTTTGGGGGTGTGCGAGGGTGCACCGTAAAATTCTGTAGTATGCTGTAGTTTTTCTTGTTTTTTTTTTTTGTTTGTTTTTTTTTTAAAACAAAGGATTTGCCTTCTTTTTGTTAGCGTGCTGCTAGTTTACTTTATGCATATGATTGATTTTTATTTTTTTTATTATTTAAGCTTATAAATTTTCTATAAATGCTTATGATCAGAAGGTCGTTGGTTCAAATCCCAGCACTGGCAGAGTGGTGACACCATTGGGCCCTAGAGCATGACTCTTACTCTCTGGGCACTCCAGGGACTGTCTAACCCTGCTTTCTCAAAATGTTTGCCACTTTAGATGAATGCATCTGCTAAATGAATGAACTGTAGATGCTTATCCCGTTTTGGATCATGGTGAACCAGGAAGCAGAAAGACCAAGGCAGTGTTTACCTGGGATGGGGTGCCAGTTCGTATGGGATTGTGGGTAATTGAGAGGCTTGCCCATAGATTGTACATGCAAGTATCATGCATGAAGCCTGGACCTGCTATGGGACAGTGCTGACCGCTGAGACACTGATCAGCCCTAACATGACGTAGCACTGCGCTGTGCTGCTGTCACTGCTCAGCTCTTACAAACCAGTCATTTCTTGGTTTCTGGAACCCTAAAGTTGTCTGTAATGTTTTTTCTCCTAAAAATTTAATTTGGTATTGGAGCTATATTAAAGATCTGCAGAATGAATGTGTTACTTTCTCAGTGCATGTTTATCGTTTTCCGGCAGTGTACTGGTAATCTGTATAAGGTGTTCATCGGCTTACACTGAGGAGACACTCCTGAACAGGGGAAAAAATATTCTTAACCATATATGACGGTGTGCTTTGTGCACTTCGGAAAGTTTATTTGAAGACGTCTGGATGCGCTTGGATTTCAGAATACATTGTTTGCAGAAACCGTTTTTCTTCCTTTACAGTTTACAGGGTGGAAATTCATACACTGGTGTTAGGATAAACGTTAGAAGATGAGAAAAAAAAAAAACATGTTTCTGACTATTTCAGATTGTGGTGCATTGAATGCATGGTACCAGGCAATGGGAATTAATCATTTGGCCTAAGGATGTAAGTGTTCAGATCCAAGCTTCATTACAACTAATTTCCCTACAGTTCGCAATTTAAGCCCATTAACTACAATTACTTCTAGATTGTGCAAAAACAAAACAACAGCCAAGTGAGTAATGAAACATAAGTAATTAATTCTTCCTTTTATCTTTGTCCTCCTTCCACCACATTAATTAATTAGCTGAAGGCTTTCTCTTGGCAGTTTTTTGTCTGGGCTGTCACCAGTGTTGTCACTAAAGCTCTGGTGTTATCACGTGACCCCTCCTTGTTATCACATAATGCTCTGTGATGACATCTGCCTGTCTGTTCATTCTTTCTTTATTGTATATTTATATACTGTTTTTGTGTTTTAGTATTGTCATCATTGTCATCATGATTTTCTACTTAAAATTATCTTCAAATTTTTTAATGTAAAAACAAAATCTCCAATCTGCATTTTTGGTCACTGACTTCTGTCTTGTTTAAATATATTCTGTATAATATATAACTGTGCTTCTATAACAATAGTAGAATTACTGCCACCAAGCCGATATAACCTGCCGTAATCCGAACAGCGGGACTGTCTGCGTGTCCTAGATGGACAGGAATGCCGGGCAGTCAGTGCTGCAGCTCCACCATCACGTGACAGCCCCCATTAGCCGCACCATGGTCTGTGCTGACTGCTTCCAGTCTCTGGAGAGATGACACAGTATTCTACCACTGGCTTTTTCCTATGTACAACTATATTTTGTTGTATCACTGTTGCATAATTTTCCTTCTCGAGATAATCAGCATCAATAGGTTAGTCATGGACCAAGCAGAATCCCTCACAGTCTAGTTAAACTATCATTTTCTCCCAGTTTTGACTGCTGCAGCCTTCGTTGGATCTGTAATTTGACAGCATCGTAAAACTCTTACTAGATCTCACACAATCGTATTAATTCAGCTGTTTAACTCGCTTATCAGTGCACGTCAATTTTATAGTACTACAGTATTTAATGAAACTTTATATGACTGTGCTCTTGTTTAG